AGGGGACCAGGCCCTTGTGAATACAAATAGGCTGGCCACTTAACAAGCTGCAATTCTTCCAGATGAAAAAGAAAGAGAAAGCAAATGGATGAAAGGTTCAGGTTGAATGTTTTCCTCTGCTGCACAGGATTTCACTGCCTGTTGTCCTTTCTGACCAGCTCAGTGCCTCGATCTCTACATATCCCAGTTCCTGCCCTCGGGAAGCAGGTGGAGGAAGCTGCTAATTACTGCTCTACCATTTCTTTTAAGGATGACACTATTTTTAGTAGAAGTGACTCATTCATATAAGTAGGTATGGGTAGCAGGGAGGGAGGTTCTCAGTGACAACTTAACCCTTATGTCTCAGTGCGTTTATATTTATCCTCATTCTTTAACCCTTCTCTTAATGAGCACCACAGGTCAGCTGTGGTTCAGAGCACCAAGGAAAACACAGACATTTATCTGGAAATAATGTAAAGTGTTTTCCATCCAGATACTTGAGAAGTGAGAAACTTCTCAAAAATATAAATAAGAGGGAGGGCAAGAAAGGGAAAACTGGGAAGGACCACTGTCCTCTTGAAGAGGGGGACAGATGAGGGAGCAGCTAAGAAGTAGAGAGAAAGACTGAAGAAATTTTACTTGAGATGCCTTGGGCTTTACTACGCAGTAACAGGGAAAGCTCTGTCCTAGTAACTGGGTGATTTAGAAGTCTTGGAGTGAAAGCGCTTCCTTCTGAAAAGGCTGCTTTCTGATTCCGAGACTCAATTTGTCCTCTTATAAAAGGAAAGCGTATTCTAGAACTTTTAGCACAACCAATACGCCCAGCTTTCAAAACCTGGGCACTAGGCAAAGCACTTTATAGGTTATCTTATGTAACCCTCATGAAACTTTTATGAGACAGGTAGTATTAGAATCCCATTTTACAGATAAGGAAGCTGAGGCTTGGAGAGGTTGTATAACTTTTTTAAGGTAACATACTAATCAATGGCTCATAACTCATGTCTGTCTGAGCTCAGCTATCCAACAATTCTGGCCTAGTGGGGTGTGAGCTAGTACACCAGAGCCTGCCACCTAGTGATTCTTCTACAATAGCTAGTGTTTGAACATACTTGCAGACTTCCAGATGGGATTTATTGCTTTTCACTGTTGTGAGAACCTTCACCTGTGTGGGTCTATGGGCTTGCTGGCTAAGAAAAACATGGGAAAAATGTTGCCATTACCAGCACTTAAACTTAAATAACCTTTTTTCGTGATTCTTCCTCATCCAAGTTAATTCACCCATGACTTATCTATTTCCATATTAATATAGTTTTGTGTATTTGCTATTTAACCAACACCTCTAATGACCAGTCCTTAGCCACATTACCTGTTGTAGAGAATGAATCCCTAAATATCATTGACATTTCTGCATAAACTACTAAAGTCCCCAGTATTGTATGCATGCAGGGTCTTGCTCTGTCATCTTTTGGATGGTTAAAGAAAAGTCATAATTTACTGTAAAATCATCATGTCCAGGGATATTCTTCTTCTAAGTATTTTAAAACCAAGAATGAAAACTACGATGTTTGACCAATTCAGCTCAATATTTCTTGCTATAGAGTATCACTGCAGGGCGTATCTTTCTTGAACACATTTATATTTATAGTTCCAAGAAGTCACTGGGTTAAGGAAGTCCAAAGAAAAGGTGTGACAAGAATCATCAGTCCTTTCATTTGTATAAAAACTTTAATCATGAGTTAGCATTTTAATTTTCTCAAAGGCAACCGTTGACTACAAAACCATCAAAAATGAAAAACGAGGGATCCTCCTGTTGTAATTTTCCATTATTGCTTCTGATAATGGCCAAGACCGTCTGCTGACCTTAGGAAGCCTATCAACATATCTGAGTGTAGAGTCCTGAAAATACGTTGTTTTATCAAAACACAGCTGAGAGTTTTTCACCTGCTCTTTCCAGATGACCTAAATGGACCTTGCACATTCCACCATATTCTCCTCCTTCTGGCAAATCCTTCGCCTTTCTTTATGTGCCCCTGAGCTTTACTCATTCTTTACAGTATTCAAGCTCCATGTCCTTCTCTGCTATTCCTGGCCAAGACGTTTTGATCTCTGGACCACTGCTGTCCAATAGAAATATAACAGGAACCGCACATGTCATTGTGAAAATTCTAGTACCCACATTAAAAAAGTAATAAGAAACAGGTAAAATTAATTTTAATGACATATTTAATGTAACCCAATATAGCCACATTATTGTTTCAACATGTAATCACTAGAAACATTAGTAATGAGATATGAGATATTTACTTTTTTCGGTATCAGCTTTCTAAAAACCAGAGTGTATGTTAATACAACACATTTCCTTCTTTTTCTTTTTTTTTGAGATGGAGTCTCACTCTGTCACCCAGGCTGGAGTGCAATGGCATGATCTCATCTCACTGCAACCTCTACCTCCCGGGTTCAAGCGATTCTTCTGTCTCAGCCTCCTGGCTAGCTGGGACTACAGGTGTACCCCACCATACCCAGCTAATTTTTGTATTTTTAGTAAAGACGGGGTTTTACCATGTTGGCCAGGATGGTCTCTATCTCCTGACCTTGTGATCTGCCTGCCTCGGTCTCCCAAAGCGCTGGGATTACAGGCGTTGAGTCACTGCGCCCCGCCACTATGACACATTTCAATTCAGTCTAGACACATTTCAAGGGCTCAGTGGCCATGTGTACTGGACGACACAACACTGGACCACATGTTCTGAGAAAAACAGGGTAGTTCCTGGCACACAAGTAGACTTAAACACTTATTGCTTTCAGTTCTTGCTCCTAGCCACATCTACCTCTGCTCTGTCAGTTTGCAATGATCACCGTGGCCTGTGTTAGTTACCCTCCAAGGAACGCACACATCCCCTCAACTAATTTACATGCCCTTGGACAGAGACCAAGGAGTGTGATTTGATTTTCCACAGAGTACATTGAGATGCTTGTAGTCCCTAAACCTGGAGTTCCACTGCAGGTCTCCTCATCTTGATACATGTTGTTCCCTCTGAATGTTCTTTCCCCTTCTCTTTTGAAAAGTAACATCTGCTCTCACAGAGCACTCTGTCCCCTGCCACCTCTCAATTTGATTTAATGCCCATTTTCTGAACATCTTTTATTAAAATGTATGTTATATACTCACAATTCCTCCTTGGTTTCATTCACTGCCCCATAAGCTGTTTTGTGTGTGCACGTGTGTGTGTTTGTGTATATTCCATGTCTTACTGGTTTTAGATCACTAATACCAAAGACTGTCCCTGTAAAATGAATGCAGGAATGCTACATAGCATATGCTGAACGAAACATCAATTGATCTTTATAGCTGTGAAATAAAGTAGGTTTCTGACTTAAGATATCCTCTGCATTTATCACCTGCAAAATAGGTAAATGGCTAACTGCCCAACATACTGGCTCATTTCCTGGAATAGGAAAGGAAAAGGTGGAATTTCAATCCTTATGATCCCCTGAAAGGGAGCTGCTGTTACCTCCATTTTACAGCTGAGAAAAAAAGAGGCTCAGAGAGATCAAGAGACTTGCTCAAGGCTACACAGCTAGTGAGTGCCACAAGAGGAGTAAGCGTCCTAGTCTGTGTGTTCCTGAAGCTGATCTTTGTGTTGAGGTCCCATTTCCCACAAAGTTCTAGAGCAGAAGCCTTCTGATCACTTCAAATAAACCTAGCTCAGCGGTAGTCTCTATCCAGATCATGGGAGGGAGCACAATGCACAGCCACAGGTCTTTTCTGTCACAGTCCCCCCACCAGGAAAGCCTGCCCCCTTCCCCACTCTGTCAAATATGAACGGTAGTGACAGAAGATGCCTCCTGACTTGTCAACAGAATAAGCTCCTGGGGACCTGGGAACAGATCAGAACAGCAGTAAAGGCCCTGGGTCCATATCCCGCAGGCTGTCAGAGAGCAGGGGTCAACAACTCCAGCTTTTGAGTGTGAGAAACTGCCTTACTGTGCCCCCCTGCTTTTGAAATGATGCTTTCTCTCATTAAGCGCGTCTGCCACTCTCTGTAGTGGAGTCTGCCTAAACATGGCCTAATAGCACTGATTAAACTAAGCATGTATGTGCCTGGCACCGTGGTTGCTGCTATCACAGGAATCCCCGGATTGCCGAGACCAACTGCAAGACGCCGAAGGTGCTAGTAACAAGCCTGGCAGCAGGGCACCAGGGTGCAAATCTGAATCTGCAAAGAGGAATTAACTTCCCCTCCGATGTCCTGTCTCTCCTAATAAGCAGATAGACGGACAAAAGCAAAAGAGATGGCAGGGCTGCTCTTAGCTGCACCTGCCATCCTGAGTGCTGTGGCACCTCCCCTTGAAATGGTCATGACCACGTAGGGAACATGGATGGGTTTCCTCAATTAGTTTCTCTGCCAGCTTAGTCTCAAGTCATATCATACATAGATTAGCACTCTTGGATAAACCTAAAATTTGAGTTTGGATTTCGGTTTGTTTTGTGATAGTCTACATATCCTGCTATAAAGACACTCAGCATGTAGAAATCAGTATAAAAACATAAATGAGGAAGATTATTTGCTTTGTTTCATGAGGGCTTTGTTGCAGGGTTTCTTTAAATGGGAAGTTTCATTGGTGCATTTAGAACAGAAGTTAGCTTACAAATAATTTTTTAGAGAAAAAAGTCTAGCTGTAAATCAGCTGACATTTACAGTATGGCCTCTGTGACGCAGGCACTGGAGGAAAACACGACACACATGAACTCTGATATTCACGGTAACCCTGAAAATGAGCTATCAGCATTCCTGCTGTATAAATGAGAAATCGAGGTTTGAAAGTGAAAGTTATCAGGTAAATCTGGTGAAGCAGGTTGAATTGCGTCTCCCCAAAAGGTATGTTGAAGTCCTAATCCACAGTACCTGTGAATGTGACCTTATTTGGCACAGTCTTTGAAGATGTTCAAATGAGGTCATACTGGATGTAGGTGGGCCTAAATCCAATAACTGGTGTCCTTATAAGGAGAGTGAGAGAGATCTGACATACAGGACAGACACACAGAGATGAAGGCCACATGATGACAGAGGCAGAGACTGGGGATGATAGAGCTGCAAGGCAAGGAATGTCACAGATTGCCAGCAACCCCCAGAAGCTAGAAAGAGGCAAGGAAGGGGCCCTAGCGCCTTCAGAGGGAGCATGGCTCTGCCAGCACCTTGATGTCAGACCCCTAGCCTTCAGGACTATGAGAGAATAAGTTTCTGTCATTCTAAACTGCGCTGTTTGTGGCAGTTGGTTTCGGCAGTCCTAGAAAACAAATACGCCTGAGAACACCAGGTTTGCTGATTCTAAAGATACCTCTTCTTCCTCAAAGGATTTCAAGGCTGCCTGCTCTGTGGCTGTTGACACTGAAGGCCCTCGCTCTTGCCAATATCTGATTCGCCTGCTCTTGAGGAAAGCCAGTGAGAAGCATTAGACAGGGGAATGACACCATCTATCTGAGGTGAGTTTTGCAAGGCATGGCTCTGGATAAAGGGGAACACACCGGAGACTGGTTAGAAGTGTTTCTTTTGTCCAAGGGGAACACACCGGAGACTGGTTAGAAGTGTTGCTATTGTCCAAGGAAAGAGTAGGTGGCTTGTGCTCACCTGGTGACAGTGGAGATGAGAAGAAACTGATGACTGTGATAGGTATTGAGAAGGCAGAACTGAAGACTGCCACCTCAGATGTGGGGCGAGGGTGAGTGGCTTTCAGCTGGGATGCTCAGGTTTCTGGCCTGGGTAACTCGGTGGATGTTTATGCCATCGTGAGAAGAAGGAGTGTTTACCGTGATTGATTTAAACCTAATAGACTTTAATTGAAATGCATTGGTGGTAGAATTCTCTAAGGAAACAGGCTTTAGAATCAGGTAAATGCAGGTATGTATTGCCTGAAAGGCCACACAGTAGCTACACGATGTCGGGTGAATCATCTAACTGCACAGGTTTCAGTTTCTTCATTTGTTGTTTGAGACAGGGTCTCACTCTGTCGCCAAGGCTGGAGTACAGTGGCATGATCATGGCTCACTGTAGCCTGACCTCCTGAGCTCAAGTGATCTACCCACCTCAGCCCCCAAGTAGCTGGTGCAAGCCACCATGCCTGGCTAATGTGTGTGTGTGTGTGTGTGTATATATATATATATATTTTTTTTTTTTTTTGGAAGAAACAGTTTTTCCTTGTTGCCCAGACTGGTCCTGAACTCCTTGGCTTAAGTACTTCACTCACCTTGGCCTCCCAAAGTACTGGGATTACAGGGGTATGCCACTGCATCCAGCCAGTGTTCTCGTTTGTTAAAAGTAAAGATAATGATATGAGTTAGCATATGTAAAGAGCATATGGTAAGCAAATAATCGGAAGTTAGCATTTATAAAATATTTTATAAGTAATATGATGCTTTCCTCTTAGAACATTTCAATGATACATCTTAATCATTTTTATTATTGGCCAGGCACAGTTGCTCACATCTGTAATCCCAGCACTTTGAGAGGCCAATGCAAGAGGATCACTTGAACCCAGGAGTTTGAGACCAGCCTGGGTAACATGGGGAGACCTCATCTCTACAAAATAATACAAAAATTAGCCAGGTGTGGTGGCATGTACCTGTAGTCCCAGCTACTTGAGGGGCTGAGGTGAAAGGATCACCCGAGCCTGGGAGGTTAGGGCTGCAATGAGTTGTGACTGCACCATCGCACTCCAGCCTGGGGAACAAAGTGAGACTGTTTTTTTAAAAATCATTATCTTAAAATACAGAGAATCTTGTTTTTATTTCCTCAATTAAATGTGGGAAGAGTGTGGGGAAATGGCAGAATACAGACATAAAAGATCAGTGCAAGCTCCCTTTAATATCTCAAGAAAATCAAAATCATTTTCTAGTTCTGTCTGCCTGTGCAACTATAAGGGATTTTTAGTGCAGAGTTTAAAAATTTTTAACTAAAAAGACAATGTAAGTGAATGAAAGTCCAGCTATGTAGAGAGTATATGTTTCTTTATTTCCAGTAATTCATGGGAACAGCATGTACCAGTAACAAAATAGCACTTTCTCTTGCCTAGCAGATTTTTCCTCCTGTCTAAAGGGCGACTAAAACCATTATGTTTTTTCCAATGCAGGACATCTTGTCCTTTCCCTGAGGTTATAGTACTTGGTGCCTTTCATGATTTCAGACAGTAAACTGCTCCCTAAGTGGAACTCTATTCTTTGGTCTAAGACATTTTATCTTTTCCAAAGCACAGTGTTCCCACCACAAGTGCTATTTATGTGTACATTGTCAGAGCTATGCAAATAATTCTCACTTTTCTTGAAATATTTAAAATAAAACATTCAGTATAAATCAGTAAAGATCAGGTATTTTAATATTTGTATAATTGGGATCTGTTCTTTCAGCTAAGATACTCATAAATCTAGATGCCATTATTAAAAAGAAGTAACTGGATTTTCTTAACCTTTAAAAACACAACCTCAATGATTTATCATATAAAAAGAGAAAATAACACCTTGAGCTAAGGATCATAATGAAAGGAGGAAGTTGCTAAAATAAGGACAGAGATCTTGCCAAAGCCTTCTACAACCTGGTTATTTCCCCTTGTATTTTCTTCAGGTGTCTCAAAAAATATTCAAAACTGAATGCACTGTGATTTATCCTGTCTACTTTCCCACCCAGATCCATCATTTCTCCCACATTTCCTATCTTGGTTAATGATTCCATTACCCAACTAGAGGTGTGGCGTTGTCCTGAACACTTTCATTCTTATTGCCCAGGTCTGACTGGCCACTGGATCCTGGCAGTTCTACCTCCCGATCACTGCTCTAGCTCCTTCCTTCTTTCCACCCCTATATTTGCTCCCTGGTCCAAGTGTTCTTGAACTTCCATAATAGCCCATTAAAGGTCTTCTAGCATCTAGTCTTGGAGCTCTCCCATTCATTCTCTACTGCAGTCCGTGGGAGCTTTCTAAATTGCCCTGGTGAAGCCCTGGCCCCAGGACCTACAGACTGGAGAGTCAGCTCCCTAGAAAGGCTTGAGAAGCCCATCAGAATGATCTCTTCCTTCTGTGAAGCCTTGTATTTCAGTACTCCCTGCCCCAGCCTGCACTTGATATTCCAGCTGTTCTGTGCTGTCTGCGGCCTATCAACCCTACCATGCTGCTACTCTGCCTGGAAATGTTTTTCTCCATCTTGTCACCCTAGGAAATTGTTCTTAAACCTACTGCTAGTTCTGATAGTTCTTCCTCTAGGAAGACTTCTGAGACTTCCTTCTCATCCACTGCAATCTCAGCAGCCCTTTTGTATCTTGACCTTCTTTCTATTCCTGTATACTTCATACTGTATTTTTAATGTTTTAATTTACACAGTCTATCTCCCTGGCCATATTGGAAGCTCCCTGGATGTGGAGACTGTTTCTAAGTCATTGTTGGTTCCTCCGGCCTTACTGTGTGGACACATCAGGTACCCATCAAATGTTAAAGTAAATTATGATCTCAGCTGTTCATTGCCAACAGTCTGTTGTTAATCCTTTTTTTCTACTACTCTACATCCTCCTAATATATTTTATTTTCCAATCCCACCAGGCTCTTATCTTCATCTTATAGATGAGGAAACTGAGGCTCAGAGCACAGAAGACATTCCCAATATCACACTGCTAGTAAGTAACAGTCAGGATTTGACCCGAGAGCTGGGTAAAATTGCACAGCCCGGATACTCCAATGTTCCTCCCTGCTGCCTTCGCAGGATATAAGCAGTAGACTGGGAGCAATTTCTTCAAAGTGCAAAATATTTCTGCACCTCCATACTTGTGCTCAATCTTCACTCTCCTCTCCTCTACCTGTAGAATTCCTACTTCCCTTTAAGTTTTAGTTCAAATGCTGTTGTCTTCCCCTTTAAGTTCTATTTCAAATGCTGTTGACATTTTTTTTTTTGAGACAGGGTCTCCGTCTGTTGCTCAGGCTAGAGTGCAGTGGCACCATCCATCATAGCTAACTGGAGTCCTCAAATTCCTGGGCTTAAGGAATCTTCCCTGTCTTTCACATTTTCTGTTTCTGTCAGCTTGAAATAATAGTTTTCCTCTCCTGTGCATCCTACAATATCTTTACATGCAGACACACATGGCTGAACCTTCTCTTTCATGGCCTTCACCATATTCTAGATCATATGATGGTGATTAGTACCTTTGGTGCAGAGACCAGGTCTTCTTCATTTTTCTGTGACCACAGCCCCTTATATAGTGCTATGTACATAAAAGTACATAGTACTATTTAGCCCATAGTACTGAATGAATAAGTGAATGAGTGCTATATTTCATCAGTTCTGTCTCTGTTGGAGAACAGGTTTTATAAATATTCTTGTCCCCTCAGCACCTGGCCTGGTAATCTGATCAGGTGTTTGGTTCAATTGTATTTATATCTTATGATATAGTTATTCTTCAGAGCTTGAAAGAAGAATGAGAGGGGAAAGGCATATGTAATTTGGGTCTTCAGGTCTGAATCCTTGAAAGAAAAAGAGAAAGACAGGATCAGCCTTGCTCTGGAGACTATTCTAAACCAGGAGTAGAACCCAGCTCCCTTGTGGTGCAGGTGGAAATGTGTGAGTCAGTTGAGTGGGGAGTGGGGGTGGGTGTTGGGGGAAATGCTGGCATTCACATTAGTGGTCGGGACCCAGCAATACTAAAGGCCCTAAAATGCACTGGGAAGTCTCACATAACAGAGAACTGTGCTGTCCAAAATGCCAACAGTGCAGATATTAGCTTTTTAAAATTGCTGCCATAACAACCACAAACTTTGAGGCTTAACCAACACAAGCTTATTACTTTAAACTCCTGTAGGTCAGGAATCTCACACGGGTCTCACTGAGCTAAAAGCAAAGCCTCTGTAGGGCTGATACCTGCCTTCAGGCTCTAGGGGAATATCCATTTCCTTGCCTTTCCCATCTTCTAGGGGTTACCCACATTTCTTGGCCTATGTTATCTGTCCTCTATCTTCAAAACCAGCAACAGCAAGTTGAGACCTTTTTTCCACAGAATCACTCACTCTCCTCTTCTGCCTTAAGGACTTTTGTGATGACTGGACCCATTGGGATGACACAGGGTACTCTGCCCATCTCAAGGTCAGCTGATTAGCAACCTTAAGTGTATCTGCAACCTGAATTCCCTTTGCTATGTAACGTAAAATATTCACAGGTTCCAATGCTTAGGATATGACATCTTTGTGGGCTATCATTCTGCCTATCACAGTGTGTCCACATTGGAGGACGTCCTACAATTATTGGACCTTGGTGATTATCTTCTGTGGTAGATGGGTCTGCCTCAAGACAGGGATTCAGAGAACAATCTGCACTTAGAGAGCTCTGAAATATATACCCCAGTAAAATCCTCAGCAGTCTATGAAGTATCATTCCATCTTACAGGCCCACAGCCTCCATACCCCTTCCCGTGTCTTGAGACACCAATGGAAGCCATCAGGAACATCAGGTCTCAG